ACGGCATTTATCTCTACATCTAACACATAGACTATTATAAAACGAACAGTGCAGTTTGTCCCATGGCAAATAATATATTTATAGCTTTTATTAACAACATAATAATATTTCAAGTCCACTGATTGGTCCGTTTTCTTAGGTACTCTTCAGTTTTCGTATGAACGGCGCGTGAGTGGTAACATTTGTCATATACAGGGTGTACAGGGATATACAGGGTGTTTTTTTTTTCAGTAACTCATTAAGTTAATGCAAGGAGTTGTCATATTTTCGTGAGTTCATATGAATAAAATTAATAGATTATCGCATAGAAATCAATTGAATTATTAGAACTGTATAAAATGTATAAAATGCACTTAGGCGTGACGTCACAGAATATAAGAAATTTCAAACTTTTATAGTCGTAACCAATCGTTACGAGTCACTTAATCGTCTGAAATTTTTGTCACCATCCCTATTCAACCTTAAGCAATAACCTTAAGAGTTAATGCTGAAATTCATGTTACCACGGACGAGTCGCATAAAAATAAAGCAATCTGTATAAATACGCGTAGGTAGTATAAATTACTAGAACTATGTACTTGGGGCGGTATGGGTTCATTAACTATATATTTCCTTAGTGTAATAAATTAGCGACTAAAATATTTTAACCTTTTCGCCGCCCAGCTATACTAAACAAGATGTGTCGCCGTACGCCAACGTATAAATGTATAATAAATGTATAGTACGAAAGTAGGGATGGCGGTAACATCATGTCGATAATGAAAAAAAATATGTGTAAATTTAAATTGGTACTCAAATTTACAATTAAAAATACAAACTGTTAAGTTATAATGGTAATTTGTTTTATTTTATGAACATTTATACTAAGAAAAATGGGTATCCGTTATCAGAGATGAAGATACATGCATAGAGTTGCTAGAGATAATAATAATAATTCGTAACATTAGCCACTTCACTATTCATTTCATAACGTAGTCTGTTTACTTCATATCAAGTCATTGGCGTTCAAAGCACGATACATTTCGTAAGGAATAGTTGTCTATGCTTTTCTTTCTTTCTATCGAGTTTGGTTTGCTTTTGGTTTTAGTTTACATTTAAAATCTAACGTCAGGTCACGATGTGCTTTCCCATTCAACATCAAAGTCGGAATCAGGTCCCACACCTTGTAACAGCCGCAACAACTCATCCGAATCATATTCGGTCATTTTGCACTGCACTGGGAAAGAAAAATGTGCGTGCACGCGTCGCCCGGAACTATGACACAATGACCTTGACGCCTAAGCGCTGACGACGTCACAGGTTTACTTCTATTGAAGTTGACGGCGCTAGTGTCACTCGACATCTTGCCATTACGTAGAGATGGGTCTAGCAATATCGAAAACCCTCAGTACATAATAATTAATTTTAATGAAATGATTTGATAGGTAGATGTACATTAATTTTGAAACGCATTGTAATACGTTATTTACTGACCGGAATTTCTTTTTATTCATAGAATTCAAAAAACTATTGGATGGAAAAGAAAACAAATATTATAGTAAATAAAGATTCTAATGAATGCTCCTTACGCGTCACATCACTGGCCTACTTGATATGAAGTCGTTGGCGTGCGGGATATAAAATTATTTGAAACCTTTTATGTTTTACCTTTTTAAAACAGAAAATAGTCTGTTTTGCATGAGAAAAAATAGTTCGTCGTGTCCATATTACAAAATTACAAAGAAACAAATGTTTTATGTATCGTAAATGTATTTTTTATAGTAGGTAGATACAATGAACTTCTATAGAAGTAGTGGCGTGGACGGCACGAAAATCCTGAACTTCTATAGAAGTTGTTGGCGGCGAAAAGGTTAATCAAAAAAACTGACAAGGAATTTTATGATAAAAATGTTACCGTCACCATTTGCGAATTGTTATTTTCAGGACATATTTAAAACCTAAATAGAAACATAGTCATAGAAATTATTTATTTTAAAGTATTTTTTCAATCAATCTGAAAATCAATCGGTTTTTTACAACATCAGAATCTTTGACCACATGTAACATCGCGAACATAACTATTACAATCAAAAACAGCGTTTTTTTTAAGAAATCAGCATCTTTTTAAGTTAAATGGAATTGCATTGTTTATTTTTTTTTTTCAATTTTTATAGCACTATATATGTCTGTATAGACATTAGATTAGATTACACTTCTTTGCGAAACTTCGCGGTGCATTCACGAGGATTGCTCTGGCAGCAGAGGCAAGAGCAAAGTTCGGATCCCAATCATACTGAATATATTTTCAAAACTCAAAACCACCATATTGAATGAATCAATACGTTCAATGTTTCACATTATTTTGCCCTGACAACAATGACGTCACTGATGTCAAAAATACCACAATATTAGTCTATAAATATACTAAGAAATGCTAAACAACACTATAAGCTAGCGAACGAGCATTAATAAAGACGAAGCGACATAACGTGAGAACACTAACGTAACATAAAAATCACAATAAAACACCACCAAACTTAACAAGGTTTAACTCTGAATAATTTATAATAAAACCTTTAATTTTCAACTTTATTATTTATCAGTTTAAATATATATTTTGAATGGGCAAGGGATTTCATTAGATTGAATGTACTATCATTTTGAAGTCTGTACGACATAAGGAGCTATTTCCAAAATCACTTTCGCACTTATGTGGCATTAGGGCCTGATGATCCAATAGATAATTCGCTAGTGTCAAATCATTTTTGACAGTTGCGGTGATTGGACTAACTGTTGCTACGAAATTGCCACCAGTAGGCGCATTTCATTCAGTACATTTCGCCGAACAAATGTTGTAAAGGATATGACTTTACTTTTACGTGAATAAAACATAATTTAGCACAACAAGAGCTGTATAATGAGTCATTTTTATTTTCTTACTAATTGTGTACCAAATAAATTTATGGATATTGTACTGAAATGGTACCCGATTGGCTGATAACTGATGATGCAGCTTGAATGTTGCCCGAACAAAATTATTATGAAACAAAATAATGACATCCCTTACTCAAATACTAAAGATTATGTTTACACCCAATGCGTTTTGATAAGCGTGCAGTGTTAGCAGCATTGCAGAGTTTAAAGCCTTCATAACAAATAACACTCAATTTCACATCTTTTTCCATACTTTACCTATCCAAAAATCATTCCTTAGATGTTAAATTATCTATCCCATTTACATACAACTTTCCTATTAACATTCTAGAATATTTCTTTGCCAAATCCCGTCAAAAAGATTCAGGAATTTTTGCAAAATCAACAGAATGAATATAATTTTAAATATTTTAAAATATAAAATATATTGTAAAATAATTGCAAATGTAATGTTAATAATAATGATATATTTTGTTTGACAGTTTGAAGACGTACCAAAAAGGAAAATGTCAAAAAGTATTTATTTAGCACATGTAACAGTCATTCGTTATTCAGTCTAAAGCATACAATACAAATGCATTATTCCCTGTCTAATCCAAAAAAATATATTTATAATTATGTTTATTACTGAATTAAAAAGATCAGAATAAGGAAGTTTAAATAAAAGACACATTGAAATGATTTTATGATATTAAAAAGACACTGCCATTAATTTATTTCCTTACAAAAAAAAGATAAATGATAAAAAATATGGATAAAATTTATACAGATCTCTTTTCTTTCTTTCATACTTATCATAATGTCAAATGACAAATTCAGTAATAAACAAAATTATATTGTTATCAAATGAGTTTTCATCAAAGCGCTTCCACCCAACTTAAGCGAAACAACTAACAAATACAAAACAAAACTAAAAATAAACTATAATAAACAAAAATAGTAGATTCAATACAAATTGTATGAGGCAATCATTTAAACTACATAGTAAAAAAAAATTCGAGGAAAAATACATAATTACTATTATAAGTAAATACTTAGAATTATTTCTACTTTTAGGGCTGGAGTAGACCAGATTCATATGCGCATAAGCATAGACGTGCACGTCCACGTTAAGCAAACAGTGTATCCTGTCTCATTACAAATCCTACTTATATTATAAACTAGCGGCCCGCCCCCGCTTCGCACGGGTCCAACTATCTCGCTATTAAAGGGTCACTTTTCCTAATCTTCCCCTCTACTTTTCTAATATTTTCTTAGATAAGAACCTTCTCCTGACAATAACGAACGCAACAAAAAAAGAATTAGCAAAATTGGTCCAGGCGTTGTTGAGTTATGCGCTTACAACACATTTTGCGATCCATTTTTATATATAAGAAGAAAATGTAAAGTTTGTGAGAATGTAGAGGGTAGATGATTCGTCGCCCGAATGCAGGGAGCTGTGATATCGCATCCTCATTTGCTTGCGACCGCGACCTGTGCAACCACGTCCAGCCTTCTAAGGTACCTAAATAATTACTTTTCGCGTTATCACTGTACGAAAACTGTACGGATGAATGTTTGTTAATCGTAGTAAATGGATGACATTCTGTATTAACACTTAAGCTGCTTTTTATCAACATACCACGCGGGCGAAGACACGGGCGGAAGCTAATACTAATAGTACAATGCTGTGGAATGTACGCACACATACGAGTCCGGTCTGCTCCAGCCTTTATCGAGCCACAATAGGTGTATAAAATCAATTCGAGTGGTTGAATAGCAATTAGGACATATTTTCATTGTTCTTCTACTTTTATCGAACTAATACGACGCCCTTATTATTATTAGCACAAGAACCACATTAATTTTATTTTATTTGTTAATCTGTTAAGTTTGTTTACCATAAAGAGACTGTTTTTTCAATTTAAATTTAAATTAAAATCTGTTTTTGGGAGTTCTCTTAGAGTTTTACAGTAAACAAAATTAAATATTTTTATATAATATTTAATCATAAACAAAGAAGTTTGGAAGGGACAACATTCTGAATTTAATCAGATTTCTTTCTTTTTTTAAACTACAGAATAAAACCTTCCAAGCTTATTTTTTTTTTAATGTAATTAAATGACATTAGTAATTTACTAGTAAAATTTGTCATTTAGATACTACGCATTACGTAGAGAAGAACTACGATTTTTTCGTATAATTTGAGGAAGATTGTTTTTTATTTAATATTATTTTACTATCGATAGCCTATGTAAACACTATGTAGTAGTATTTTTAAATTTAACTTTAATATTATGATACCTCCCGAAGGACACCTTTATGTAGAGACGGGAGAGTAAATAAATTATTACTATATATTTTCATATGATTTGTATTTACCATTAACTTTTTTCTTTGGTAGTTGACGATATTTTTTTATAATAAGTATTTAAAATGTTTTTGAATTTGGATGGTAAAAGCAGTTTAGTTAATAGCAAAGAATTTTGAACCTTATTACTACCTAAATCATGGAAGCATTCAATATGTTACGATCCCTTATTTTTTTATAAACACGTACGTAATATACTGATTTAATGTTTGTTGTTTTGTATATCAAAGTGAATGATAAATACAATATTAGACTAGAACAATTGTATTCCTTGCATGGTTCGCGGATATGTTCCTCCTTAGAGCACTTTCACACTTCACGGAACGAACGCTGCGTTTACCAGTTTTTTTTTTCTTACTTTTTCCAAACGAAATCAGCAATATTTGATCATAATTTACGTTCAAAGATTTTTGACTATTGTTAAAACACTATAAACAAGGAAACAATACAAAAAGTATTATTATTCACGAATGGCATTTTCATATTTTCGTTACACAGGATGGAATTTTTATCATAACATCCCTAAAAAATTTGGCATTCTAATTGTCATAGTACACAAAGACCCGTGCAAAAACACCCATAAAACAGTAAAAGAAACAAAACGCAGCGATTTTCCATTGGAGTGTGAAGTGTTCTGGCTGACTGTGACCATAAATTTAACCTGAAATTGTACTAACTCAATGCGTCTAAGGTACCAAGTTTAGTATATTCCTGTGTTCCAACGATTCCTTCAGAGCGTAGAATAGTTGCAGTTGTTGTTCAGGTTTTAGGTTGTATACCTGTTAATAGGAAGACAAATTATTATGGGGTCTTTTTTAATAAAAACGTTGCCCTAAAATAGGATTTTGTCCTGTATCGTGGGTGTGGTTCCATGCGGGAATCAAATCCGCGCCACGTTGCACGGCAGCCAGTTGCCCAGCCACCGCACTAACCGTGCAGTCTATTAGTCTCAGTAGGTTTTTATGCAACCTACCTACAACACCCGTTAGTTTTGTAAACTGACTCTTACGTGCCCATTTTATAAGGGAAATATCATCAACTGACTTCTATGGCTAAGAGTCAGACGAGAGGAAATGACAGACTCTTACTAACTAAAAACCCCACGTTCCTTCTCCTGCTTACGTGCCTGCCGCCAGAACCACCCGGTGCTTAAACTGGTTTGGTTCTTCCCTCAAAAGGCAGAATGAAATTTTCACACATTATTTTATCATTGTCTGGACATTAAACGAGACTGACCTGTTTGTTTGTTTCAGCATTTTTTTTCTCAAAGTAGTCTGATAGGAAATGAAGCTTTATCAAGTGTTTGTTTATATACAATGTTGATGTGTAAAAGAGCTATTTAATGACTTAAAAGCAAAAATAAATTCACATATTCATTGTTTCATTCATTCAGGCAAAGATTCACGCTCCCTCTCGCCAGGTTCAATAGAAGAAGTCATAGGATGAATTTCAAACTCAAAAACAGATTCCTACTTTTGGGTTTGGGTGACTGTAAATAGTTGTTGATTTAAAACTGACCTGCTGCAACAGTTTCTGCGGCGTGGCGGTACGTATGAAGCTGGTGATGTAGACGTTCACGAAGGTGGCCATCAGGAACTGGCAGTCGAAACGGTCCATGATGCCGCCGTGGCCAGGGATTACGTCGCCAAAGTCCTAAAATGTAGAAAAAGAACGTGAAATGTCTTGTTGGTTTAGGTCGTCAGTTCTCATAAAAATGGATATAATAAAAGACTAGGTTTTTTATGTGATAGATCGGCAAACGAGCATACGGATCACCTGAAGGTAAGCATCCATCAGCGCCGCCCATGGACTAACTCCAACTACGGAGGAGTTAGTCCAGTGCGTTGTCGACCTTTTGGAGACTATGGATTTGGGGATTTTGTGAGGAAAGGGTGTGGCTTTCGGTAGCCTCACTTACCCAGCAAAACACAACGCTGTAGTTGTTTCACGCCGTTTTTCTGTGAAGCTGTGGTATCACTCCGGTCGAGCCGACGCATTCCTGCCGAAGCATGGCTCTCCCACACTTACTCGCATGGTTTTCAAGACCGTGCAAGTATTTAGAATGCACTTACCTTGATCTTGAATGCGCGTTTAAATCCTGAAGCGAAGAATCCTCCAAAAGGTCCGATGACGGAACTGAACGTACTCAGGCACAGCGAGTGGATCATGAACGGGTAGATGTTCAGCTTCTCCATACCAAACTGGAAGAAGGGAAAAGTTACTTTTAGGTTTATTGTTTTAAGGTACGAAATAGAGCGTGAAATAGGCAATCTTGGATTTTGATGAGGAAATTGGAAGTAAAATTCAGTTTTTGATCAGTGCTTCGGTCTGTTCAAAACCTTTTATGTTAAATATTTATGTTTTAATAATTCAAGCATTTATTATTCAACACAAAATTCAAGAACCAGATCCACGAAATTCTGTTTACAATAGTGTTGCATTAAAAAATTCTCACTCTATTCCTACAGGCTATCATCACACGTAAGTAAAACCTACACTATCTTAAAGGGCTGCCAAAATCTAAAATACCTATTACTTTTTTGGCATCAAACTGTATATTAATCAATGAAATTTCATACAAGGAATGAAATACTCACTACAATAATATGATACAGATAATACTCACTACTTTCATGACGGGTTGCAAGAACTGCGGTGGCGTGTACTCCTGGAGGCGGAACAGCAGAGATGGCTCACAGTCCATGGTCATACGGCCAAGAGACTCTGAGTACTCGATGGGGCACACCAAGTACGGGTATTGGGACATCATGTATGACATCTGTCGGTGAAGATGGAAATTATAGGAATTAATTTTTATGACTAAGCTGCTTGATGGACATGAAGAACGCCTAAATGCGCAGAGTTCACGCGTTTTGACCCTTATGTAGTACCTAATTAACAAATTAGGCGGTCATTTTCTTCCTTAAAAATAATATTTTTTGTAGCCATTCTCTAAGTTTCATTAAATTTCATTTCTACTTCACAACGAAATATTTTTCTTGTAGATCTATTTAGAATATCTCGCTCTAAAAGATCTCAAAGTACTTTACATCTAGTTGTTCAGTTAAGCTGCTTTGGATGTGTAAAATAATCTTAAGGTACCCCTAACCTATTATTCATAATTTCATTTCAAATAAATATTATATTTCAATAATTATATGTTTAAAATATCACATACCACAAGTCCAAAGATAACAGTAGATACTCCACCACCGATGAAACCTTCCCAGGTCTTCTTGGGGCTCAGCTTGATCAGCGGGGTCTTTCCGAAGAAGAAGCCGAAGACGTAAGCCATGACGTCATTGCAGATGATCATAGACACCGGCACTATAAACCATATTAGGCCTGGAACAAGATAGACAAGATTATAATAAGATAAGAACTCGCTCTGTTTTTTTTTACAGATGCTAAAATGTCCTGATATTTTTTATTTGACTTTTAGTTTATTGTCCCGACGCGCTTTTAATTTCTCGCTTCATAAGTATTTTTATTAAAAAGGACACTAGCTCAAAACTCTCATCATCATCATCATCAGTCTTTAAGTCTTTACTGCTGAGCAAAGACTTCTTCTAGGCAAACGTAGTGTAGGGCGCCCTCCAGATAGGTGGACTGACGACATCCGCAGGGTGGCTGGCAGTGGTTGGATGACAAGAGCTGAACATCGAGCTCAGTGGCGTACAATTGGGGAGGCCTATGTACAGCAGTGGACGACAACAGTATGATGATGAAAGGCTTCTTCCCCACGATTGCTCAAGGCGGAACGGAAATTTTAAATTTTAAGTTCAGGATTCCTCACGATGTTTTCCTTCACCGTTTGTCAATGGTAAATAAATGTAGAAAGTACATATAACTCTTGCCAGGTTTTGGACCGGCACTCATGCATGAGAAGATTACGCCATAACCTTCGGGCCATCACGACATTTATTCCTACATCATAATTTTACGTGACCAGTACGTAACGGCAGATTTCACCTTTAGATAAATTGTATGCCTTATGCATGTTGATGACAGCAGTTAAAGTCCAAGGAACATGGTTAATTAAGATGGTTAGATGTAACCATGAACCTGAAATTTACTGTAATATATTACTCCGTATCTAACAATAGGTATACAGAACATCATGCATGAAACGTCCATACTTCTATACTCTTACAGGGCCTCGAGTCTGCTATTACAATAGTGTCAGAATAGTAAGTCATTGGTTTCAAAATTGTTGATTTTGACAAGTTTGGTAATCTACTAACATGATAGCGTCATTATAATTTTCCAATGATCAGCCAATGCCACTTCATTGAAATAATTCTTTAGAACGGTAATCTCGTACATAATGACAAATAAATAATTGAAATAAAGCGGTAAATTTGTTAAAAAATTCAGTTCCTTTATTCAATTATTTACGTTTAGAATATTAATGTGCAGTTATTGTTTATAATTCGGTACAAGACATCTCGTACTATAAATTCTATTACAACATCGCCGAACGCCAATGATCAGCCATTTTGAATTAACAGATTACGAACTTTTAGCAATGGAATATAGTTTTGACCACGGTTTTGACAATGGAATCGTGTAGAAATGACAACACTTTAAAAATAGTAGACTTGGGCCCCAGGTCTTTGTTTAATAATTATGTTTATCTGTTAAATAACTTGAATCAATAGACGCATACGCAATAATATAATTTTCTATTTAAAATCCAGTCAAAATAAAACCCCCAAAAAAATCCGTAATGATATCTAACCACCCAACACACACAGTACACACATTATATAATTTCTCTATGTAATAAAACCACAATCTGCAATATACATCTACACATAACTATGTCCGCTGGTTAGCATTTACGTCGTTTAAAATACAATAAATCATACACACAACGGTTAAAACTATGCTATTGGTCGACCAATCAGATCTTCCAGTCATAATCGTGACCCATTTCTGTCCGACGATCGTACCACGATAAGTATCGTTGCTAGCCATTATTTTTAGTTGTTAAAAATAAATAAAAAATACAACAATGAGAACCAATTGGAAATATTGATTGTTAGTTGGAAACAAAATAGTTCCTTGATAAACAAATTGGTACCTATATAAACACATTTTTCGATCATACTTCTTCACAGTATTTAAAGTTGTTTTTTTCTGTAAGGAGAATTATTACGTATGTACCAGCGGCTCCTAAATTAAATGAAATTGTGGTAATTCGAGATACAATAGAAGAACAATAGGTGCGAGAACGCCGGCTTTCGCTTAGGATTTTGATATGAAATAATGTTATTATATTTACATATAAACATTCCTCTTCCATCACTATCTACTTATTAAAAAATAAAAACCGCATAAAGATCCGTTGCGTAGTTTTAAAGACTTAAGCATACATAGGGATATAGGGACAGAGAAAGCGACTTTGTTTTATACTATTATAGTGATTTACGTAAACTAATACAGCAAAATTAATATTTTATCTGTTACAAAAAATACCCAAATCGTTTATGCCTGAATTTTAATCCAATTAAGGCTTATTGGACTTGTATGAGCACGCATCGCCTTTGGGACATGACAAATTATATCTATTCATATAAATTATTTAGATGATCGATCGTGGAAACATGATTCTATGAAGTATGAAAACACGCGTTAAAAACCGCAAGGACTATTTTTTTAAATAATACATAATTTGTAGGTAGCCCGTAGGTACTAGTTATATGTATGTAGGTAGTAATGGATCCTCAATGTCAGTAATTATAATGAATAGCAAAACTGTGTATCTCTTCCACTTTGACTCCACCCTTGTTAATCAGCTCTGTTTGTGTGTGCCTCTATCTGTTTTGTTAATCATGCTACGATTAATCGTAATTATATAATATTAGATGCAAGCGTATTAATATCCTGCCACCCAGCTCAGAGCAGGAGGAAGTTACGGGGTGGTTGTAAGTCACTAAGAGTTTGAGACTTCGTCTCGCAAAGTGCGGAGAGAAGTTTGCGAATAACCCCTTCCCAAAAGGTACTACTCCAAGCACTATTAGACCCAGGTAGGTATACTCCAAAACTACAGTTGGCCTCTACGACATATGCAGTAGCATCTCTAAAATATTCAGGTCCTTACTGCGACCGTGCTAAAATCCCGGCCTTCTTTAGATATGTTTTTGTTCAGCAGGTTTATTATTATAACTACAATAAAACAAGACATTTTTGTTTACAGTACAAGTCAACCAATTAAATAGAATACTTGTCTTGCTATAAGTAATAAAATCGTTAGTGATTGATAGCTAAATTAATGACGGAAACCATTGTTTTAGCTTTCAGACCTTTTTTAAATATCAACGAATAACAATAATTATAGTTCATTGCGATATGCTGTCGTAGAAAATGCAGTTCAGTATATTTCCTACAAAGCGAAACAAAGTGGTACGGTCTCATTAACCCCGATACGTCAGTGGTTTAACAGTAATCTATCACTGAGGTTTGCAAAGGGGTTAAACTGGAAAATACTATGGCTAATGCAGTCTTTTTACTTGAAATTAAATCGAAAAATATAAACATGCCTAGACGTATTTGTTTTCAAAGTTTCTAGATGACTTCTAAGGGATATTACTTTAAGAATCAAGTATCAATATTCACAAAATATTTTTCGTTGCGAATATAATCTCTCTACCATCGCATCGCCCCATTCACAACACCAGCCTGATTACAATATCTACACAAAATCGATAACTACTCTATTGTATGTATGTGTATATTTTTACATACATTGTTGACTTTTAAAGCGTACACCAGCTGTGGAAACAATGCCGAGGTTAAAGATCAAAAAGCTTCTAATCTAATAATAAAATTCAACGTGTTGTGTGCAGAGGTATAGGAAATCTGAGTATCTGGGATTTTTTGTTGTTATGTATAAAATAGTTGGGTTTGTTTTATATGGAATATATTGTTTGAAATGCTTATGTAGATGTGTAACACAATACAAAGCCGTGAGATATCATTGTGACGGTGTAGAATATATTTGACACCACCGCCATTTTTCCCTTGGTTGTCGTGAGCATTGACTTGTACTAATCAAGCACACATTGTGCTTACATTATTGTGCTGCACAATAATATACCGCGGTCTCGACTTGGAGTAGGAAAAGGAACACGGTAGTTTTTAGTCAGCAGGAGTCTAGTATCTACAGAAGAAGTGCCTTCTCTATCCGCCCTTGGTGGGGACCAAGGGCGAGACAATATAGTAGACCATTTTTAGCCCTTAAAAACAATAATAAAAAAAACAATCAGCCGAACACAATACCTCCTCCTTTTTTGAAGACAAAGAAGTTACTACACTTTAAAAAAAACCTGACAGCAACGCTCTCTGATAAACCTTAAACCTTTTCAACTACGATGTCATCGAGGATACATCAAACGAGGCGACAATAGTAAAACCTGCTTATGTAGAGAGTTCCACGGTCCAATAGTGGACATATCACTGTATACATGAGCAATGATTGGGTGTTGTGTTAAAATGCCTGGTCTTCTTGATTCTGTTATCCTTGACGTAATCTCATATGAAAACTATCACAAATTTATTCCTAAACACAGAATTCGAAAGTGTAATCAGCTAACTCAATTCGTTATAAATCAAACTTTGATCGCGGTTGCAAATCACACGCTTACTCATGCATACTAAGCAATACAGAGTGTTTCATATTGAAAGAAGTATTCATCACATTGCGTGTTGCGAAAACCAATATTTTAGCGATGACGGGCTTCCCCTCTTAGTCTTGTAAATAAGGTTGTGGCTTTATTGTAGGAAGCGATTTAGATTAGTTTGATAAAATCTTAAGCATAGCACATAGGTATGACATCCAACTATTTCACTACTTATGCCCGGTTTCCGAAAGGCCGATCAATATTAAAAGCAATTTAATCTCTTGTCCAGTCATCTGATTGGTTGTTGATAATTCAGTCAACCAATCAGATGACTTCACAAGAGATTAAATTGATTGTAACATTGATCGGCCTTTCGGAAACCGGGTGTTAATAGTTTTAGAGGTCTACCAATTGTGTAGTTAACGACATTCAGCAGAAATTAGTCTATACTAATCGGATATTCCATTTTTTTAGTCGAGCTATAACTTTAAGTTGCTGTTATAAAAATCCTGGAATACATTACTTTTATAAGCGTGCGCAGCCGCGGGTGGACGCTTGTATACTATACAGCAATTAGCCCGACCCTTGTGGAGTGTCACATACATATCGAATATAATGTGTAATTATACATATTTACCTCTCCAAGGAATAAGAAGCTTTATGCTATTTACCTAAGTACCTAGTGTTAATATTGTATAGCAGTTTGTATTTTGTATAGTA